AAAAGAAGAGATCTTTCTTCATCCTGGTTGCTCGCACGGACTGAGGTCTTTGCTGAGAACGCGGCAGAATACGGCAGAATCACTCTCGGATCTTTGCCGGATGCTGTGCAGGTAAGTCAGCGCTGGAGCTCCGGGAGCCCACCGCGCTCGCCGCTGGCTGCTGTGGCGCTCAGACACGAACAAGGCCGTGCTGACGGGCGCTGACCGCGCCGCGCCGCCGCAGCCGCAGCCGCGCCGATGCCGCCGCTGAAGATATTAGGCTGCGTGACTGGTAGAATCCCGGGTGCCTGGAAGCTGCACAAGAGCTCTGGCCGCAGTAGGGTTGGTGAGAGCGGCTCGAAGGTATCGAGGGGCCGGATGGAAGTGCGAAAGGTGACGAGCGGCCCCGAGGCGGCGGCGGCGGCTGCTGCTGCCGTGACACCGACGTGCGGGTAGTAATGTAGAGGCATGTGCGAGTGGAAAGGGTAAGGTAGACTTCCTGTAGCTGCCGCGTGCGTCATCATGTAAGTGTAGAAGCTGGGGTCTGCTGGATGGGGCCAGGACATCGCCAAACGCTGCCTTTTATCCTTCATCCGCCTGTTCTGGAACCACACCTGCACACAGAGTCAAAACAAGGCCCATATTGAAGCTGCCATGTTTGTTTCCGAGCTCTACATGTAGCCCTGCCTTGAGGAGTGTGTGGTGCAGCGTGTGCTCAGACACTGAGATTTAAAATGTCCTATAAATGCTCTGGTCACTGAACATGAAAAGGATCAGTTGTCGCATGCTGCAGGAGTCCAACCAATTAACTTAAATGTGTCAGTGGAGAATATTTGTTTTTTCGCAGTCATTTTAAAAAAAAATAATAAAAGAAGAAGAAGTAGGCCTGGCGTATAAATGAATTGTAAACATACCGGTTGAATTGATTAGCATCCAATGGGGTGACCAGTGAGTAACAGCGTTATTTTGTGTACAGGTTAAAAATAAAAAATATCACACTGCAGAAATAATAATCTAATAATGGATGCATTTTCTGCTGCAGAGTATTATAATAGTGATTCTTTTTTATACTGACATCAGTGCTTTCTCTGCACAAACACATGCACACACACAAACACACACACACAGAGACACACAGTGGACAAGAATAATGAAGATTAATCGGTACCTTAATCGTAGTTTCGGGCAGATTTAGCGCTGCGGCTAATTCACATCTTCTTGGTCTCGAAACGTAATTTTCCCTGTAAAACTCCTTTTCCAGTCTTCCGATTTGTTCTCTGGTGAAAGCAGTCCGATACCTTCTCACTTGGTCGGAATTTGAATTGTTTGATCCTCCCGTTGAATTACCGTTCATATTCGAGAGGGAGTTTGAGCTGGAAGAGCCAGAATTACTGTCTGAAAAACCTTAAAAAAAAGAGAGAGAAATTGTTATTGATATGAATATTTTTTGAAATAATACACGTGTGTGTGGGCCTACAGTAAATTTGATATATTATTAATAATAACAATAATAAAACTGATTGATGTCAAATTTGTGTCAAGAGGCAAATGCAACACATATTTTTAATTAATAGGCCTTTTACATTTCTGCATTGTAGTACAATTATGTAGCAAAATTCTGGAAAGGGGCTGAAGCGATGATAATAATAGTAATAATAATAATAGTAATAGTCATAATAATAATAAAATTCCCTTTTTCTTATTTAGTTTTTTTGAAAAGAAGCAGAGAATGATAATCCCCGGTATATTAACACCAAACTACAGCTGACATGAAAACCAGATCAACCTGGAGTAAAAGAATAAAATGTTACCTTTGTTGTTCTCCTTGTGCTGGCTCGGGGAGCGGTGCGCAGGGCATCCCACCTCCACATCACTGTTAATATCTGAATCTGGCGAAACTTCGGAGTAAAGGCTCATCTTCTTCCTGCTTTCTGACGAGGAAATTTCCGCCGAGGAGGTATTCTCACTGTTGTGGTGTGAACCGAAAAGACTCTCAATTTCAAATTTGCCTTTCGTCGGGATGTCCCCCAGGTTTCCATGGAGAGAAGCCGAAGTTATTCTCGGGCTTAGCCGTCCGCTGTGCTGAGAGTTTTCCAGGGCCTCCAGCACTGAATTTCCAGGCGTGTCTGCGAGCCTCTTCCCTGCGACCGGACTGTGCAGACCTCTCTCCATCAATATCATCTCTTTTCTTATCCTCTCCATCATTAAGCCGTGCAAGACGAAGGGAGGAAAAAAAAAGGAAAAAAAAAAAAACCCACACAACACTTGTCCAAAGGGGGGCTGGAGCACCAATGAGTTGTGTCGGAGCTAAATCCGCATGCAACTCAGCAACTGTCTCTAAATAACTGTCTCTAAACCTTTTTATAAGCAAGACGCACAAAATGAAAGAATCTGAATGCAATCGACGAGCGACTGCTCAAAATGAGCCGTGCATCCTCCCCACAGCAGCAGAAATGTCATTCATCAAAAAAAAAAGTGGTTGCAGCTCGTTGTTAAAATGCTCGGCTGACGTTGCTCCAATGATCATTTATTGTAACAGGTTTATAAGCAAATAAATAGGAGAGGGCTGTCACTTGATGATGGAGGCGGCCTTCGGTCAGACGAATAATATCCAAGTGGAGAGGAAGAGAGAGGAGTGAGGAGCGAGGTGCTTGTCCCTGGGTTGATCTCTGAGTCTGTTTTAGATTGCTCTTGGGTTTGGCCTCTTGGGTGAAATTGACAGTCTGATTAATAAAATGAGCGGTGCAACATTTCCCTCTTCATTTAGGAATATTATTATCCTTTGATTCTCTATTGTTTCCCTCCTCCCTGTTCGCACTCCCTCTCTCTAATCGTTGTTCTTTTCATTTATTGTCCTTATTTCTTTTTTCTTTTTAACACAATTTCCGCGACTTCATCAGCGTGTGCACTGTTTTAGGTTTAAGGTGCAAGTTTGTGATAAGAGATTAAGAGTGTTATTTTCTTTCCTATTTTTTAAGGCTATGTGGATTTTTATATTTGTCTATCTTTTAGGGGAGGATTTTGCTCCACAGTTCTTTTATTCGTCAAAGACACATTTTGATGTGGTGATAATGCGTGCATTACACATTTAACGACATCAGCGCAATTATATATTTATGAATGCATATACAGGCACAGGCTGTTTGTATGATCCGACAGGCTTCTTTTAAAGGAACTAAAACGTGTCAGTAATCTTTTTTGATTTAACGATCAGTTGTCACTGTTGGCATTTTAAATGACATTTCATTACAGATAATTCGTTTATTAACTTTCTTTGCTCGGTTTAATCGGCTTTTATGTTGAATTTAAATTAATTACTTAGATTTAAGAGCGTATACTTGATTATTTTCGTTTTTAACAGTTCATCTGTTTGAAGTAGTTTCCTCCCAACCCCCGTCTGTCTGTGTCGGAACCGTCATTACCTGCATTGTAGTTTGGGTATTTATAGGAAAATAACTGTATGCATCATATTAACTCTAACGGAGACTCGATATGTAAAGACATAACACCCATGCATGGACTCCTGGTTTCTCCATGTGAAATGACTATAAAGGCACCATCAGATTATCCTCTGTGCGTCCTCTGGCGCCTCCTGCAGGTTTAAATATTAATTGCTGTCATTGATATTTAGTGTTGAATGGGGGGGCTGTAGTTTGATGTCCTGAGTTGTGTCTGTGCTGAGAACTCTGGGGACATTTCCAGCCAAGATCAGTGAATTTGGCGTTGAAAAAATAGCTAATATGAGTAGTTATAGTTACGGTTCTGTAAAGCCATTTCAAATCTGAGTTGGAAGCCAAAGAGCCAGACCCATAACCTGATACTTTCTGCCCATATTTTTATAATACTGTTGAGCAATATAATGTGATTCAAATCAGAGCAAAGTCTACTGTCTGTCCTACTCCAAACAAAGAATATGAGACAAATATACGGCCTCAGAACCAGAAACCTGCTGAAGCTTGAATTTCACTTGCATGAAGCTAATTTAAATATATTTCAGCCCACTTAGGCGTTTGTTCAAAAACTGTTTATGTAAACCAATTTTCTAATCTTATGTAAGAGAATCATGTTTTACAACCTGCATAAGACCAATTATACATTCTTCACAAAAAGATACTTAAGTTTAAAGCACCCATCACTTCGTTAGTGAACACAATATTTTCTTTTATTTTTGAATAAAAAAAATAATAACATTGTACTCAAGTTAGACAATGCAATCTCATCTAGGAGCGTTGGGAATTTACATTTAATATAATTAGGTAATTTGCATACATGTACTAGATTAATTGTGCAGCTAATGAGTCTTTCTATGAAGAGAGTTTTACCTTAGGAGGTATTTTCACATTGCAGACACTTCTGAATAGCATTATCCTAAAATCTTACTTTTGAAATGTATCTTTGTTTAAACCAGGGGCGGATCTAAATGGCAAGAGGGTGGCATGGAGACTTTAAGGGGTGGCAGAAATATATGCTGATGTAATCGCGAATGATTACAAATGTCAATTTTTGCCTGTAGATATTTTAGTTGTAGTTACTTTCGTTACATTATCTCCTCTCAACATTGGGTCAACATAAACAGATATTTCTTAAAGCAATAGCAAGTATTCCCTTTTTACCATTGTGATGTTTATACACTTTAATAAAGGGCTCTCTCCTACTCTCTCCTGCTACATTTATACTTGGACTTTCTCATGTGGATGACTTAAAGTGGCTCTCAAACTTTTCTTCTGAGGTTGATTCATGGCGGAGATGCATGTTACTTATCCTCTTCAGTTGGAGTGTTGCAGTGATGAATAATAGCCCAGTCTGAATGGACCTTAGGAACATTTAAGGTCTATCAATCTGAAGTTTGAGGATTCATACTGAATCAACCTAAAGCACCAAATGGGCAATATTGAATAATGCAAAGGTTAAAGGTATTCTCAGCATTTAAGTGAATCATTTTCTCTTTTTTTACTTGCAGTTACCTTTCTCTGTCGTGTGGAGCCACCAGTGTGCAAAGTCTCACATTAAACTCAAACAACATGATGAGAATTGGGGCTAATAAGTAGATTCAGGATAGCTGCTCATGCATACTGTGGGTGAACACACAGGTTTGGGCTTCCTGGATGTAGAGGGGTGGAAAAAACAGTAGTGAAAGATTTTGTGGGCATAATTTGTTAAATCTCTCTATTTACTGGACATTTTATCTGTGGTAATAAAATTGTAATTCATTAATCTCTGTAATGAAACATTGGCAAACGGGAATTTATTGTATTAAAAGTCATGTGACAAACACTCAAAGGACCAGTCCTGGGAATAATGATCAATGCTAATAAAAAAAGAACACTGTACCCTCTGTTTGAAAAATACAATAATTTTTTATTGACATTTTGTAAAAAATGAATATTAAACACAGCAGACTGGTATAAATCTGTAAAGCTGGCTAGATTTTACAATGAGGTGCAAATCAAAAAAGATTAATTTACTTTATTTAATTAAATTGTGAGGACAATGCACATTAATCAGCGTTTTTATGAATGTAGTTGTGTGATTTTCATATGCAGTCTTTTGACAACATGCTCTAAACATGAACATCTTAAAGCACAAATGCGAAATATGCTACTGTTAATAACCACATTTTGCACACAGTAGCCAGCAGCAGTTAGCATGAAACATAGATGAAGAAGATGATCACATTAACCAGATACCAAAATATTTCAATTGAATTTGAGTAAACAGTAACAGTTTTGGGGAGAGACTTGACTGATTATCTATTAGATGGCTAAGCCAAAATCACCTGAATATAAGAATCGTTGTGTTTTTGTTAGAATCAGCCATTACATCAACAGATGCCACGGGTTGCCTTCCATGGAGGCCACCATGTTGGACCACCATGTTTCTACAGTAGCCCAGAAGGGACAAATTAAACACTGGCTCTTAATAGGGCTGTTTGCATTTCTCACGTGATTCGCAGTCACCGTAGTTTCTGCCTCACTCTTGGAAATGGAGGGGAAGGCGAGTTAAAAGTGTTTTGAAAATCCAAATCTTGACTGATTAGATCTCTGCCCAGGTTGACGGTGGGTGAGCAATGATGGGGAGTTAGGTGATAAATTCATTTGACCTGTAAGAATGATGAAAGGTGTAAGTTGTCCTGCCCTAACAGGTGCAACAGACCTCGGAGGGGAGTCATGGAGATGTCAATCAAGCTCAGTCTGAACACGCCCACACGATAATTAAAGGCCCAGTCTGTAACATTTTTGAGGATCAGTTGTCAGAAATGGAATATAATATTCATAGGTATGTTTATTAATATATTATGATAAGAATTTTTTATTTTCGTTACCTTAAAATGAGCCTTTTTTATCTACAGAGGGAGCGGGTGTTCTTCCATGGAAGCCCATGTTGAACCACCATAATTCTACAGTAGCCCAGAACGGACAAACCAAACACTTGTGCTAGAAATGGCCTTTTGTGTTTTTCTCAGTAGTTTCACCTGCATGCTTTAAAGACTATGATGTATTTAATTTCACAAATGCCACTAAATCCTCTGTGTTTACCAGGGTTGTGATCAATAGGCCTTTTTAATATTTAGAACAGTAGCTTTCAAAGTCATCAATGAGCCTTTTTCACAGCCGACATTTTGACTTTCCATAGGATAAAGTGCAGGTATTACTAATGACATTAACATGGCTCTGCTCTAAGTATCCCAGTAAGTCATGAGTGTGACAGTAAGTCAACATTCACAATACAGGGACCTTGAAACTGAAGCAGCTTAATGGAAATTCAGCCATCATTCATTTTATCATTTAGACCTTTTCTACTGACATGTCAAAATGTCAAAGCACATTAGAAGATGTGCGATTACCTTGACTGTAATTCCAGGGAGATGTTGGGGGGGGGTTCTCAGCCACATCAACAGTCAGTGTTGTTGGATGCAGCATCTAGTGGCTGTTAGAGGGACTGCAGCTGTAGGTTCTTCAATGGATTCAACTTTCAGTCATGGTGGGTGCCACTTGGTCTGTACAGGGGTGGGTTTAAAGCCCCTGACCTTACCTCTTGGACGGCCTACCTTTAGCCTCGGACCCCTACCAGCTCCTTTAAATGTATTGCAGTCAGTGCAACAACTGCTTTAAGTGCTGATTCAATGAGTTTAAGAAGGCAAAAATATGAATAGGAAAGTTCAAATATAGCATAGTATACAGTAGACACACATTCAGAATACCAAA